CAAGGGCTAAATTTAGATTTTAAAAAGATCACTCTGTCCTTGGTGTGGAAACAGAGATGAAGGAGGGGTCAAAGTAGAGGCAGGAAGACCATTTTGACCTGTTTTAAGCATCCAAGTCAAACAGGGTTAACTTTAATCAACCCTGAAAGCCTAAAGTAATGAGACAACTGGGCAGATACAGGGGATATCAGTAGACTTGCTTAAAAACTGGTTTTGAAGGGAAGAAAATTGAATGATTTTCATATTTTGATTTGAGACGATAATAAAGATGTAGAAAACAAGGAAGAACAAGAGTGGGCAGAGGGCAGAGACAGAGGGATGAGTTCGGGTTTGGTTGTTTTGACAGAAGTGCTTTAGGGGGTCATTTCAAATGTGGGTTGAAAATATATATGGGGATCCCAGATCCCACATGGTAAATTGATTTTGTTTTGTTTTTGAGACCAAGTCTTGCTCTGTCACCCAGGCTGGAGTGCAGATCTCAGCCTGGTGTGGGATCTCAGCTCACTGCACCTCCGTCTCCCAAGGTTCAAGTGATTCTCATGCCTCAGTCTCCCAAGTAGCTGGGACTACAGGCGCCCACCACCACGCCCAGCTAACTTTTTTGTATTTTTAGTAGAGACGGGGTTTCACCATGTTGGTCAGGCTGGTCTCAAACTCCTGACCTCAGGTGATCTACCTGCCTCGGCCTCCCAAAGTTCTGGGATTACAGGTGTAAGCCACTGCACCCGGCCCTTGATTTATTTTTAAAAGTTTTATTATTTGGCTTCAATCTCATTTATATATGAGGAAAATGAAGCTCAGAAGAGTTTCAATGATTTAATGGAGGACTTAAAATATTAGAAAAAAGGGTTTTATTATTAAGAGAATTTAAATGAAGACATTAATAGAAAATGAAAAGAATTATGAACCCTTTTAAAACCTTTCAATTCAGTGTTCTAGTTCTTCATTTCCTTGATACAACTCTATACCATGGTCATAATTTTTCTGTCTCATGAATAGGAGGAAAAATGATAGGAGTGGAGACTATCCTGAGGAATACTTTTGAGATTAGTGGATAAGTGTTCAATGAATAAGTCAGGTACGCCTAAAAAAACACTGAACGTATATGTACATCACGGTCAGTATCTAATACCGTGAACAGTTAGTCAAAACAGCTGTCTCTTTCCTAACCATTTTGCCATACTACAATGATCTACTTAAAATACAAATTTCACAACTTCAATGATTCTTCACTGCCCACAATTAACGCACTGCTTCATAGACTATGTTCTACCAATTATATACTGCCTATATATAATAGTCACTGTAAAGAAATAATGAACAGGCGTGGTGGCTCATGTCTGTAACCCCAGCACTCTGGGAGACTGAGGCAGGGGAATCTCTTAAGGCCAGGAGTTCTGAGAGCAGCCTGGGCAAGAGAGTGAGACCTTTTGGCTACAAAAAAAAAAAAAAAGGTGGGACGGGGGGCGGGAGGGGGCCTGGGCGTGGTGGCTCAGGCCTGTAATCCCAACACTTTGGGAGGCCGAGGTGGGTGGATCACCTGAGGTTGGGAGTTCGAGACCAGCCTGACCAACATGGAGAAACCCCGTCTCTACTAAAAATACAAAAAAAAAAAATTAGCCAGACATGGTGGCGCATGCCTGTAATCTCAGCTACTCAGGAGGCTGAGGCAGGAGATTTGCTTGAATCCAGGAAGTGGAGGTTGTGGTGAGCCAAGATCGTGCCATTGCACTCCAGCCTGGGCAACAAGAGCGAAACTCAGTCTCTCACACACACACACACACACACACACACACACTAGCAGGGTGTAGTGACATGTGCCTGTAGTCCCAGCTATTTAAGAGGATGAGGTGGGAGGTCTGAGTTAAGCCCAGGAGCTCGAGTCTGCAGCGAATCAAGATCATGCCACTGCACTCCAGGGCAAGCCCATGTCTTCAAAAAACAAAAAAAATTTAAAAAGCAATGTGTTGAACAAACACCAAGTACAAAGTATACTAATACAGTGGATAAATGCTACTCCAATTCTGATTCACTGACTGCCAGGATCAGCATGACACTGCAGATGGAAATCAAGAATCTGTCATAACAGGCTATCCAGCTGATTGTTCTGAATGTGAAAGTTTTAGAAACACTGTTCCAGAGGGTAAAAATGAGGGGATCTAATTTCTTCTCTTTTAGGAATCTCACCCACCAAAAGGTATTGCAAGCATCTGTTGTGCGGCTGGAATTCCCAAAACCTCTCAAAGCATGCTGTGTGAATACAAGGACATGTTCAGATTCTGACTCTAACAGACCATTAGCCATGATAGAAACCTACAGCCCTTTTACAAAACACTACTTTCAGTGTCGTGACGATATATTTAACATTATTGCTAGTATGTAAATTGCTAAAAAAAAATGAGTTCTATCTCTAGCAGAACCGGATCACACCTTAAATTCAACAGCAGTCCAGACAGAGCTTCATTTTTAAGTAAACATAACAGTTTTAATTTATAAAATTAATTTCATCTAACATTCACTTACATATTCAAAAAAAGGCGAAACCTAAGAAATAAACAAGATGAGGGCGCGCAAGGGGCACGGTGCTCAAGCTAGAATCCAGAATTTGGAGGAGACGAGGCGATCAGAGGTCACACACGAGACATCCTGGGCTAACATGGTGACACCACCACCTCCACCGAGGTCCCAGTCCAGCTACTCGGGAGCTGATGGCAAGAATGACTACCCGAGTGGAGCTTGCAAGTCGACGAATCAGGACCACTGGCACTAACCAGCCTGGTGACAGCATCCGTCCAAAACAAAACAAGAGTAGCTAGAACTGAGTGACATCGGCTCTATAACATATTCTACACTAAGATTAAAAGGGAGGTTCTAAAGAGAACATGAAGCAACCCAGGGTCTTTTTGGGAAACAGGGGATTATTCAAGTATCCTTTAAATGGTAGCTTTCAAGCTTAATAACGAAAGTATATTTGTGATGCAATAAACAAGGATTGGCCCAAGGCCAGTGGCTACCCCTGAATATCCAACACTTTGGAGAAGTTAGGGGGCAGATCCACTTGAGATCAGCGAAGTCAGACAGCTGCGCCAACATGTGACAACCCATCCTACTAAGAATAACCAAAAACTAAGTTGGTGGTGAGATGGGCCATGCCTGCATCCCAGCCTACTCGGGGCGAGGCAGGCGAATTGCTTGAACCTGGGAGCAGAGGCGCAGTGAGCGGGATTAGCCCACTGGCACTCAGTGGAGCTAACAGGTGAGATATTCTGTCCCAAAAAAAAAAAAAAAAAGATCAGAGTGTTTGTTAGCCTGTCATTCCCACCTCCTCTTGGTTTCATTGCTTTTGAAGCACTGGTCTTGATGTATCTATTTTGTAAAGAAATAATAAGAAACATACAATACTAGCCGTGCCGCGTGCTCAAGCTGTAACCCAGCACTTTGGGAGCCGAGGGGCGATCCACGAGGTCAGGGAAGATCGAGACCATCCTGGCTAACATACGAAACCACAAAATTACAATCGCACATGTAACTAGGTGGTCGCATGCTGTTTGGTTTTTTTTTTTTTTTGGGGGCCCGCTCTAACTAAAAATGACAGGATAAGTCGGGGCTGAGACGCATCGTGGTGGCGCCTGTAAGTCCAAACTACCCGCGGACAGCTAGCAGGGAAATGCGTAAACCCGGAGAGGAGCTTGCAGTGAGCTGCAAAATCCGGCCCAGCTGCACTCCACAGCCTGGGCCGGCAGAGTGAGACTCCCGTCTCAAAAAAAAAAAAAAAAAAAAAGTACAATACTAACAGTTTTGCTTTATACAGTGTGCCTTGGGCAAAACTCGTGTGTGTGGTTATTCACAGAGAATGGGGAAGGAGGAGCCACATAGGGAGTTCAATCCATAAACTATAGAAGGCAACAGTATCCTTTACTGCAGTGGCTTTCAAATTTGACATGCACCAAAATCTCCTGGAGAACTTGTTAAAACACAGAAAGCGGGGCCTCATCCCCCACGTTTTTGATTCAGTAGGTCTGGGTTGGGGCTCGAGAATCTGCATTTCTAACAAATTCCTAAGTGATGCTGATGCTTCTGGTTTGGAGCACATACTTTGAGAACCACTACTCTAATGGAATCAGTAGTCACAAGGCCAAGGAGCCAAGTAGACACTAAGGGAAAATAGTACCTCCCTGTGTAGCTTTTCACAACACAACATTAGTTACAAGTTTTATCACCTGCTCAAACAACCAGGTATATATATCAATCCTCAAGGGCTTTAACTGACAAAACTAGCTGTTGGAGGACAGTTCTTTCAAGGGTGAACCCAACACCTAAAAACAGTTTTGAAAAAGTCAGTTATTTGCCTATTTAAGGACAGTTTTAGAATCCACTATTATGGCAATGGATCTGCTTAGCCTCTTTGGAGGTTTTTTATTTTTTGAGACAGAGTCTCGCACTGTTGCCTGGGCTGGAGTGCAATGGCAAGATTTCGGCTCAGTGCAACCTCCGCCTCCTGGGTTCAAGTGATTCACCTGCCTCAGCCTCCCGAGTAGCTGGGATTACAGGCATCTGCCACCACGCCTGGCTAATTTTTTTGCATTTTTAGTAGAGATGGGCTTTCACCATGTTGGCCAGGCTGGTCTCAAACTCTTGACCTTGTGATTCACCCATCTTGGCCTCCCAAAGTGCTGGGATTACAGGCGTAAGTCACTGTGCCCGGCCGCCTAGTGGAGTTTTAATGCCAATATCCTTGGACTAACTTGAAAATGAATAATATAAATTCGAAATTTCTGCCCGCAGTACAATTCAAAATAACAGCGTCTAAATTTTTTTAATCCTTACGTTAAAATAATAAATAATCTCATTTTGGTTGTTTTTTCACTCAATTACTAAAAAACAAAAGAGTAATAAAAAAGAATTCATTTAGAAAAGGTACTATTTGTAGATGTTAGCCACTTATTAAAAACATACTTCCATTAAGATTGTTCTTACATTTAGATTTAGAACACCTGATATCTGGACCCAGCTGAGTTTTTATTTTACAGATCACAAAATGGATGAAAGTATATCACAGTAATTAATGAAGCCGTTCTAATTTAGCCTGAAGAGATTTAAAATTCCCAGTGATGGCTTGTACTGCTACTGACGAGCTCATAGACTGGAGCTCAACAAGGTAACCACAAACAGCATCCAGGCAGAGATTTGTAAATCTTCTCCTATAAAGAAAAAGACACATGATTAATTATACATTTACAAATATTTCCTCCTAAAGGACTTCTTCCCCACCAACTTCTGGCAACTTTAATTCTCACAGAAGAGGAAAGACCATGTGATTAAGTAAATAAGAAATAAAGTAAAAAAGAAAACTTAGGGGGTAGGTGGGTTCCATTTGAAGATTTTTACAATGAGAAGAAAGCAGTAAGAGATGATTCCTGCTAATACTTTTTCAAAAGAATATCCCTTAAAAGGCCAATAATATCGCAAAGACATAATTGAAATGTTTTGGTCCTAGGTCACTAATCTAAAGCAGAAGAAACGAATAAATTATTTATGTTTAGCTGTAGAAAGAATTTAGGACAAGGACTGAAAATGGAAAAAACTCCTATTTTTCATACATGGTGATCAGTATCATTCAAACAGTTATTGCTAATATACACAAGAGTTTAAATTCCCTGTACTTCTTTACAATTCCCATATCTTACCATCTTCTCTTCAAATTTTTTACCCAGGTATTTATTAGAAGCATTTAAAGGCTTTTGTTAGTCCAATATTTAATTCATAGGTACCTTTCACAATTTAAAACTTGGCTGGGATTCTCAACATATCTTGTCAATAATACATGTATACAATCCAAAAGGTGCAGTGGCTTCTTCATTCTATTCCAGAATGGATCCTATGAAGAAATATACGTAATGAAATGTGAGGCAAGTTGTGTCAATTGATTCTTTAAATCATTTATACTAAAGTAGACATCAGGGTCCATGCAAAACTTATTGCTATTAAAAAGCATTTAATATTACATGGCTACTAAATTATATATCTGATTATAGTTAATATTTCAAACAACATTAAAAACTTATTAATTAACAACACTATGATATTACTTAAGACGAATATTTGATATACCAATCTACTTTGCACAGCATGTAAATGTCCTGCTTAGGAATCTGAGGTAAGAGAAAAATCTTTCTTTCTATGGGTTGTGACACCACTTTCACTTTGAACCTATGCAGATTTAGTCTGACATAATAAAGAGACTAAACTAGCAGTAACAGAAACTTAATTCTAGGTCTGGCTTCACCAGTTACTAGCCATGTGACTTGAGCAGATTATTTAACATCTCTGCTCTTGTCTTTTTGCAATATAAGATGGAGATACTACAGTTACCTGCTCATCTCCATCACAGGCTAATGTTGTAAACACTGTATGATGCTACTATAAAAGACACAATCTACTTTGAAAAGTTTTTATTTGGATCTTTTATCCTTAGCATAAAAATTACAAAACATATAGTCTGATAAGGCTCAGCAGGGTGAGAAGGATCTTTAAGCATTGACATTTTAGATGAGGTTATAGTAAATAAATACAATGTAATCTGGTTCTTTTAAAGCAAATGATGATTCTTAATGTAATGAGTTTAGCCCACACCTTAGTTTAGCCTCTTCCACCAAGAGTAAAGCATATATGTTTATTAATATTCAAAAATAATATTTCATTTTAATCATGATATACAGGAAAGCAACTGTCATTATCAGTTTAAAAAGTCTAAAGCATAATTTCCAAGACTCAACCAAGTGTAATTAGACTAAGTGATGAGATACAAAAATACAATCAAAATACCCCACTCTATATCTACAAAGTTACTTTAAAGAAAATAATTTTATGTTATTTAATATTTTCCTTACCCGTGATTTGAACAACTGATCATAAACTTCTAGTAGTCTAGGTAATGGTACTCCAATTTCATTCATTGTCTGTATTACGAAGCCCACATCCCAGTTCAAAGAACAAACCTGCTGTTCTAAAAACTGTACAATAAAATCTGGGAAGAAAAAAAAAAGGTTGGAAATTTGGATTTTTAGCTCTTGATACTAAAAGGTAGGTCTTATTCATAACTGAGTAGTTTCTAGGGGGATATCTTCTGAAATCCAATTGCAATTTTTTGGGGCGGGGTTTTTTTTTTGCTATGTTGCCCAGACTAGAAATAGTGGCTATTCATAGGAGCAACTACAGTGTATGATAGCCTTGACCTTGAACTCCTGAGCTCAATCCTCCCACCTCATCTTCCCAAGTAAGCTGGGACTACAAGTATGCACCATCACTCTCAGCTTAAAAGGAAAAAAAATTTTTTTTAATAAAAGTAAGATATATACCAGAATAGGCAAATCTAAAGTAGATTAGTGGCTGCCTAGGGCTGGAGGGTGTGAAGGAATGGGAAGTGACAACTAATGAGTACAGAGTTTATTTTTGGGATGACGAAAATGTCCTAAAATTAAAATTACAGAACCTAGAAAATTCAGAAAGATACAAGAAGAAAACAGAGACCATTCACAATCCCAATAATGAAGAGGACTTCGCTGATAATTTTTTTTTAGTATCAGTACCTTTAAAAAATATGTTTCCTCGCACAAGTATACATAAGTAACAAACCTGCACGTTATGCACATGTACCCTAGAACTTAAAGTATAATTTAAAAAAAAAAAAAAAAAAGAAAAAATATGTTTCCTCAATTTAACAGCTTTTCAGAAAAGGGAAACTGCATCCTGATTTCAGAAATATTAAATGTGTTTTTAAATGCCCCACCCCTAGATTTATTTGATAGTTCTAACTGTGGCCTCATTCTTACTTTTAACTGCCTGTCTTATCATAAACAGTAACAACCAAATTTATAGTTATGGCCAGGCGTGGTGGTTCACACTTGTAATCCCAGAACTTTGGGAGGCCAAGGTGGGCAGATCACCTTCGGTCAGGAGTACCAGCCTGGCCAACATGGTGAAACCCTGTCTCTATTAAAAATACAAAAAAATTAGCTAGGCCTGGCTAATTCAAGACTGGCTTGGGCAATATCATGAGATCCCCTCTCTATCAAAAGAAATATATATATATATATATATATATATATATATATAAACATAGAAATCCTCCTGCCTCAGCCTGATTAGCTAGGACTATAGGCATGTGTTACCATGCCTAGCTAATCTTAATTTTTTCTGTAGAGATGGGGTCTCGGTATGCCCAGGCTGGTCTCAAACTCCTGGCTTCAAGCAATCATCCTGCCTTTGCCTCTCCAAAGTGTTGAGATTACAGGTGTGAGCCACCATGCAAAGCCCACATGATTACTTCTGAATTAAAAGGAAAATTCCTCAAAAAGAACTATGTACAATACAGTGTTATTTATTTATTGAAATGGGGTCTCACTGTGTCACTGAGGTTGGAGTGCAGTGGTGCGTTCTCAGCTCACTGCAATTTTCACCTCCCAGGCTCAAGTGATCCTCCCACCCTAGTCTCCCAAGTAGCTGGAACCACAGGTGCATGCCACCATGCCTGGATAATTTTCGTATTTTCTTTGTAGAGAGAGGGTTTTGCCATGTCGCCCAGGCTGGTCTTGAACTCCTGGGCTCCAGCGATACGTCCACTTCGGCCTCCCAAAGTGCTAGGATTACACCTGTGAGCCACCATGCCCACCCACAATGCAGTGTTTTCTAAAGCAACTATCAAAAGTATCAGTTTCACACACTTACAAACATTTACATAAAGTATGTATTTGCTCTTTTATTTCTCTTTATTTTTAGGATCAATAAAATGGTAGGGAAAGGGAACCGTTTCAATATTATACCTACAAGAAGTAAGGGTATGAATAAAATTATTTTATTTCTGACTATGTCTGGAGGGAATAGACCCTAAATCAGAGATGGTCTGTAAATAAGTTTGAATGCTCATTTGAAAAAAAAATCAGGCTGGGCATAGTGGTAAATGCCTGTAATCCCAGCACCTTGGGAGGCCAAGGCAAGTGGATCACCTGAGGCCAGGAGTTTGAGACCAGCCTGGACAACCTGGGGAAACCCCATCTCTAATAAAAACACAAAAAATTAGCCAGGCATGGTGGCAGGCGCCTGTAATCCCAGCTACTTGGGAGGCTGGGCAGGAGAACTGCTTGAACCCGGAAGGTGGAAGTTGCAGTGAACCGAGATGGCATCACTCCACTCCAGTCTGGGCGACAGAGTAAGCATCTGTCTCAAAAAAGAAAAAAAAAGTTATATTGTGAGGATTTTCATATCTCTCAATATTTTCAAATAACACAAAAGTACTTAATATTCTACTTTATGGATGTATTTATGTTGCTTCTATTGTTTTATCACTGAGGAGAACACTTGCAGGTTGGTAAATAGCTCATAATTAGCTACCTTATATAAAAATTATAGCCACCATATCTCGTTAAGAAAGGGATTCAAACACTAAGTTTTAACATAATTATTTGCTATTTTAAAGAAAAACATGTCCTCAACATAAAAAAGAACAGTTGAATCAATCACAGATTACCTATGCACAATAACATCAACCAAGTTTTTCTTTTCTCTTCAGAAACTTGTATAGGGTTACCAACAACATAATCATAGTTTGTCAGTCAGCACAATCCTAAGATAGATATATAAACTTGGAAAGTTAGTCACAGAAAGTTTCATACTCAACTCTTCATTAACAAATGCTGCCATTCTTTGGAAATCTTTCCAGATAAGTAGAATTAAACTGCTGAACTAAATAGCAACAAAGAAACTCTTTACTTTACTCAAAAGATCATTATTTGTCCATATCAATGAAGAAAACCATCAGAACAGAAAAATACATGACTGCACCTAAGATCACAGCTTACCTAAAGGAAAGAAGCGTGGTGTGCCGGCATAAATTTTGCCAAGCAGAACAATCTTGAGACTAAGAGCATGCATTCTATCTGAGGAGCTCAATGTCACACTGTCATTCAGTTCTGTAACAAAAAGACATATCATTTGAAACCCAAATTATTTTTAATGTGAAATGTTTACATTGGCTATTTAATTGTTTCAAGGTTCAAAATACTTTAGAACACACAGTCACATTACTATGATTAACAGATTTGGTGTTTCTGTTATTGTCTGAGATAGTCTCACGTCTTAATAGGTTATACTTGGTTATTAGATTCTGAGGTGAGTGTCTCAGTATCCTTTATAAGGCAGCACAAATAATATAAATTAAACAATCTTTTCACTGAGTATTCTCCCAGATATTCACTTGGGTCATTCTCTGTACGATCATCCTCCACCATACCCATGTGACTTCCACTTACTCTCTCCTTAGGTATGTACAATTTTCATGAGCCACTAGCAGCTTGCATTATATTAGTTACTAGCAGCTTGCATTCCTCCACCAAGTCACTACATAATGCTAACATACCTATAACTGAACACTTACCTTTCTCTATGATATCTTGCCAAAGTGTCTGCACCAATATAGGGTCTGAATAACCGGCACAATGAATTATTGCAAGTTTACACTCTGCAAGTTTAAATGGGTCAGCAAATTCCCCATAAAGCTGTGAGAGAAAATCCCAAAATTAAACATCCAACTAGAGGTCAACATTTAGAGATTAACAGTAAAGCACTCCTTGAAAATTAAAAAATATCCAAAGATTTTATGTAAACTTTCTGAAATATGATATAAAGATGTGATGATGTATGTAGCTGGTTATAACTCCATATTTAAAAAGGTAAGGGTACGGGCCAGGCACGGTGACTCACGCCTGTAATCCCAGCACTTTGGGAGGCCGAGGCGGGCGGATCATGAGGTCAGGAGATTGAGACCATCCTGGCCATCATGGTGAAACCCGGTCTTTACTAAAATACAAAAAAAAATAATTAGCTGGGCGCGGTGACGCAAGGCTGTAGTACCAGCTACTGAGGAGGCTAAGGCAGTTGGAGGTTGAAGTCAGCCGAGATCACGCCTTTGCACTCCAGCCTGGCAATACAGCAAGACTCTGTTTCAAAAAAAAAAAAAAAAAGGTAAGGGTATGGTAAATACATTCAAACAGATTTTAGCATGTAGAGCTTTTTCTTGGCTGAGAAGAAGATGTTGCAACGACATTCTATTTATTTATTTAAAAATTTTAAAAGCCACTTTTTCAAATTTCTATGGGTACACAGTAGGTGTATGTATTTATGGGGTACATGAGATGTTCTGATACAATCATGCAATGAGAAATAAGCATGTCATGGAGAATGGGGTATCTATTCCTCAAGCATTTACCCTTTGAGTTACAAATAATCCAATTACATTTTCTACTTTAAAATATACAGTTATTATTGACTATAGTCACCCTATTGTGATATCAAACAGGTCTTATTCATTCTTTCTATTTTGTTTTTGTACCCATTAGCCATCTCCACCTTCCCCACAAACCCCCTGCAATGGTATTTTGGAATTAGTGTTGTATAAACAATGGGTTGAAGAATCACAGGAATACTGACAAATCTCAAGGTGTTTCAGGGTACCTGGAACTATGTCTAAGAATAAATGAAGAGGAAGGAACTGCTCAGAAAATTACAGAGCGAGAAAGAGGTTTAGAGAGTTAAGCAAAGATAAGTTAGTTTTTCCACGGCAAGAAGTGAGGCCATAAATAAGATGATTTTTATTTTTTACTTTTTTTCTTTTTGAGACAGGGTCTCACTCTGTCACTCAGGGTGGAATGCAGTAGCACCATCGAGACTCACAACAACCTGGGCCTCCTGGGCTCAATCAATCCTCCCACCTCAGTCTCCTGAGTAGCTGTAACTACAACTGCATACCACCACAACAGGCTAATTTTTTTTTTTTCAACCAAGTCTTGCTCTGTCGCCCAGGCTTCTGGACTGCAGTGGTGCGATCTCAGCTCACTGCAACCTCCGCCTCCCGGGTTCAAGTGATTCTCCTGCCTCAGCCTCCCAAGTAGCTGGGATTACAGGCACATGCCACCACGCCTGGCTAATTTTTGTATTTTTAGTAGAGATGGACTTCCCCCATGTTGACCAGGTGGTCTCAAACTCCTGACCTCAGGTGATCTGCCCGCCTCAACCACCCAAAGTGCTGGATTACAGGTGTGAGCCACAGTGCCGAGCCTTTTTTGGTGTTTTTTTGTAGAGATGAGGTTTTGCCATGTTGCCCAGGCTGGAAGTAAGCTGGTTTTAACACAGCTCTCGTGAGGTTGATAGGTTCTTTGTAGCTACTGGCCTGGAAAGAGTAGCTTAGACTTTTCTAGGAGTCAGATGAAACAGTGGTGATCTGTCAGCCTACTGACAAGCTGCCAAAGACGCCTTATCTTATTTGTGGAGATATGGTAATTTTCCTCATGAAACAAAAAGCAAAATAAAAAACAAAAATTTCTCATTATTAGGTGACGACTATAAAAACTTGCTTTTTTATTACCTTAGTTATGTCCATCAGCTCAGAATCCAGCTGAGACACTGCATCCTGTACAGAAGAATGATGGGAATACTGCCTTTGTAGTGTTTCTTGTATCTGAAGTTGGATCCTAGCAACCTAGTTTGGGCAGAAAATAGGATGTCTTAATTTATTTATGATAAATTAACATACATTTGAAAGAGTGGCTCCTACTATCTGACTTTCTAAGTTTGCTAAAATAATGTATAAATGAAGATTTCCATCATAATAGGCTAACATCATAACAGACATCAACTAAACATAACAGATTTCACAGGAAGTGTACTGTGGCAGATCCCTTGCTGCCCACCAATATTGATATCTTCCAAGACTGTAGCCAAATGGTTAGACTCAGCCTCCTTTGCAAGGGAGGTATGGCCATACAGCTCAGCCTCCTTTGCAAGGGAGGTATGGCCATAAAACCAAGTTCTCTTGAAAGGAATGTAAGTAGAAGTAAAGTGTGTCATGTCAGGGCTGTAGCTTTTAAGAGAGTGAATGTGTTCTTTCTTTTCCTTCCTCCCTCTGCTGAAGATAAAGCAAAAGGCCCTAGGGAATGGTAGTGCCAGAAAATAGAACTTGGGTTCCTAAATCAACCACATGAAGGAAAGCCGGCTGCCAATCAGGAAGACTAACCCTGGATTTTTGTGAATAAGAAACAAACTTTTGTGTTTGGATGATGGTATGTTTTTTATTCTCTTAGTTAGGGAATTTTTAGCCTACTCGACTTCATACATCTACTTATTTGCTTCCAGAATAAATGATGAATGTGATGTAATCCACTTGCTGTTGAAACGGTTGGGAAAAACCTTTTTTTTTATTATTATTATTTTCTGAGACAGAGTCTCACTCTGTCTCCCACACTGGAATGCAGTGGTCGTGGTGCAATCTCAGTTCACCGCAACCTCCGCTTCCTGGTTTCAAGTGATTCTTTTGCCTCACCCTCCTGAGTAGCTGGGACTACAGGTGTGTGCCACCACCCCTGGGCTATTTGTATTTTTTTAAAGTACAGACAAGGTTTTGCATGTTGGCCAGGCTGGTCTCGAATTCCTGACCTCATGATCGTGGCCTCGGCTTCCAAAGTGCTGGGATTACAGGGTGAGCCACTGCACCCAGCTGGGAAAACCTTTAGAAATGCCAAGATAAAACTTCTAAATTATAGCAATGTTTTTATGACCAAGTGTATCCTTAGAAATCTCGTAAGATTGTGTATCTAAAGACTAAAATAAACAGGCAAAGCAACTAAGAATAATAATGACTTCTACAGACCTATTACTTACCAAGGGAAGAATGAAATGTGGAAAAACTATGTGGCTAAGTACTCAACGTGACACAGCTAAGATCTTGTGTAGCGTTACCTCCATTTTTCTCAAATTAATCAATAGCTTCGATGGTGAATTCCTTCATGAATTAGAAGAAAAAATGAGTAAGCCTAAAGACTTTAAGCTGTGTCCGG